TACAGGAGAGGCGTTTGTGGACTGCAGGATTGGACTTGCAAGCCATATAGACTTACTGTTTCATTCGATGTGTTTGGGACAGAGGGGTTGAAAGAACCACCTATTTGGTGTTTTCATGCCTCGCGTTTGGACGAAAAAAGGTTTGCAGTGTCTAACGCACCCTCTTGTTCATGGAGAGCTCCTGCCAATCTCAAAAGATAGATGTCATCAATTGGTGTTTTCATGTCTCGTGCTTGGACAAAAAAAGGGTTTGCAGTGTCTAACGCACCCTCTTGTTCATTAGAGAGCTCCTGCCAATCTCCAAAGATAGATGTCATCAATTGGTGTTTTCATGTCCCTCTGGGCGAGTTAACCAAAACCCTGCCATGTCAGCGAGTGCACCCTGCTACAGAGAAGCTTTAAAGACGTTTGTGTGACAATGTAATGTTGTGTGCTCACTTGCGCAAGCCTTTCTTCATGTAGTTGTTCGAATGTTTTGTTTGTCGTAGTAAATACGGTGTAATGTAAGATCTGTCGCTTTCCGCCCCGGCTTCATGTCTGGACTGGTTGCGCGGTTGCGCAGCAGCAGCTGCGGACTGACACAGGTGCGCTAGCCGCCTATACAGCCATCTCTGGGAGAAACATGGTACAAAACCCACGCAAGAGTTTGTCGCAACAACGACTCGTGTGTGACAGTGACTTGCTTTTTGGAATCTGTTGCAACCAAGTGCTTTTTGCAATCAGTGTGTGCAGTTGACTCAAGTTGGCAACTCCTGCATGTTGTGTTTGTTTGCAAGACATGATTCCAGAGTTGTTCACTCGTGTTTTTGCATTTCTTGGCTCTCAGATTTGACTGGCTCAGCACACAGCGTTTCGTGAGGGCAGTGCAGAGCACGCTTGCAGGGCTTTGCTCGCAATGAAGGATGAGGTGCGAGGCAAGATTGCGGAGTTCATCAAACGGGCCGAAGATGGTGGCCATGTTCAAACCATGAACTCGTTGTTCGGTTTCTTGAAGTCAGAGAACCTCTTGTATGAACAGCGTGTGATCCCTGCGTTGGTCCACCCACATCCCAATAATCGTGACGGCCTTGGCGTGCTTCCTAGAGAGTGTCACAGTTTGCTCAGTGACATCGGTGATAGTGGTTGGTCTTGGAAAGAAGTGAGGGCAGTTGCATGCGAAGTCTCAGATACTGATGGTGTGATGAACTTCAACCAAAAGTTGGTGCAACGTTCCCAGGGTTTGTTGCCTCCTGTGGCACCAGGAAGTGTGAAATATGCTTCACTCTCAGCCACACACACCAATATGGTGTTGCGCATGTTTGCTGCGCACCATCGACATGAAGACACCAGGTTCACAAACAATGATCAGCTTAGCTTGGAGAAGCTTCAGCTGCACGATGTCGAGTACCATGATGCTGTCACGCATGGCCTCAAGTGGGAGATACTTTCGTCGGAAGTGATGTCAGCATTTCCCAATCTCCCAAGCTTGATTCAGCTCACTTGCAACACCAGTGGCCAACTCCAAAGAAAGGAGACAGAGCTTCAGCTTTGTCTGAGGGTTTTCCGTTCATATTTGGACCAGAAGGCTGTCAAGAGTGTTGTGGGTTTCAATGATGTCAAGAAAATGCTTTTGAAAAGCAAACCAGAGTTCAAAGAATACCTACCCGATCTTTTCAACTTCGTCATGAAGTTCAGTGGGGGGGACACGGCGCCTTTCCTGCATGAGACGGTGGACATTTGTGCAGCCTGGCCCCGGCGAGTGTTGGGCCACGAGTTCTGGGAGGCCATTAACTTCCAACCCAGCGCTTTGGATCATTTGGGTGTGCTTTTTCGTGTATATATATATATATTTGTTTACACACATGTTTTTGATGGGATTTTGTACGTGTCTTCTGGTGAGGAAAGAGTCCACCATTGGTGCTGATCAGACATGCAGCCATTCAGTTGGCACTTTGTCCACTTGGGAAACTCGTTTCCCATTCAGACGTGAAGCGTCTCCTGTTGCATGAGAACGCGTCCAAGGCTGATTCGATGATACGCCAGATTAGAGATTTGGCCAAGGATCAGAGCGTTGAATGTTTGGGGTTGGTGCACGAGTGGGAGCGCGCTGCTCTGCTGTGTCTCTTAGACAGAAGGGTCCCAGGTATGGATGTGAAAGAGACTTTGGAAGCTCAAGCTGCCTTACTCACTTGGAAGGTGAGGGAAACTCTCGGAGTGAACCTGACCAATGAGTGGGATTCACATGTCACCATGTCTGGTGAAGGTGCGCGTGCTTCATCTTCGACAGGTGAGAATCCTGGGTTAGCGAGACCTGTTGAGGATTAAACACCCCTTTTGTTGTTGTTGTTGTTGTTGAAACCATGCGTTTATGAGACTATATGCTCTCACTTTTCTTGAAACATATGAGACTATGGGTTTTTTCAGACCATATATGTGCAACCGCTACTGTGACATTTCAGGATGAGGCAATACTCCAACACCGGAAAGATTGCCAATATGAAGGATCTGGTTGAAGAGATGGGGTTCAAGGTAGGGTGTCATGTCATCAGGAAAGACAAAGTCACGGCGCAAATCTTGGGTTTCAAGGATGAGTATGTTCTCCTCGATGTGAACGCGGGTGGTATGTCAGGGGAATGCCGGGTAGATGCCCAGTCATTTGTCAACAATGAGTGGACTCTCTTTAAGCCTAAAACAAAGCCTGAGTGTTTGCCAGAGTATTGGGAGCATGGCCCACTGCAGAACCCCGAGATCCAACAGAGCTGCATCAGAGCCAAGATCTTGTTGGAACTTCGCAACAGCATGGGCAAATGCACTTCTGTTGTCAACCCTTCTTGCCTGAAACTGATGACAAAGCCCAAAGGCGTGTTTGCTGAAGAGAAGATTGAGAAGCACGCCCTGCGTTTGATACCATTCACCAATGCCATCTTTTCAAGAGAGCATGGAACAGAGAACCCCAACTCTTCTCAGATCAAGGTGTTTACCTTTCAGGATGAGTGGGACTTTTACCTGGTTCCAAGTGTTCAGCTCCCCAAGGAAGACAAGAAAGGCATGATCGTTCCCTTTTGGTTTGTTGGCGCGACCTACGACCCTGACATGGCTAATTGTGAGCTGGTTTGCGCAAAAGGAGCTTCATCGAAAAGCTTCGAGGGTATGACAGTAAAGATTCCTTTCGTTCGCAACACCCATGCCTTGAAGGCTGGTGATGAGTTGCTGCTCTATAAGGAAAAAGTGAAGAAACCACTCGGTCTGGAACAATTGCTTCCAAACAAGAGGGTTCGCACCAAAGGAATCGTGTGATTGGGGTGATATGTGATGTTTGTTTTGGCAACTTGGTTTACTGCAAATTGCAATTAGAATGATATCACTCATTCTTTGTTGTTGTTGCCTGCCAGTTTTGACAAGCACCCCAATATAGACACACAGAGCAATTGCAGAGTTCCGCTGCGAGATGAGGTGACCAAAAACATTCCTCCATAAGCATGTACATTCATTAGCTGGAGTAGTCATGTGAAGGACTTTTTGATGCGCTTGTGTGTTTCGAGTGTATGAATATAAAATGATGCTGGTGAGCAAGGGTGAATAGTTGCTGACATATGGTGCATGGCATTTGTGAGGCTTTGGCACAGTCTAACTCGCTGACATAATTGTGAGCTTTAGCAGGGTCTGACTCGCTGGCACTCTCGCTGGCATATTTGTGTGCCTTGAGCAGGGTCTATATCTCGCTGGCCACATTGTGAGGCTTTAGCAGGGTTCAACTTGCTGGCAGATTTGATCGCCTTTCTAGACCAAAATCCAGCGATGGAATTGAAGTCCGCGAGTCGTGTCGAGATTGTGAGCCTGATTGGCTGTCGCCTTGATGACGGCGAACTTTGGGTGCCTCAGGTGCAAACCATTGGGGACTCCAAGCTCATGTTACTCTCGAAATGGGACCGCGGTCTGACCAAATTCCTCACCGGCAAGTGCTTGGACTGGAATAAGGACAAGAAGAACCTGAACAGCACTTCGGCTGGAGCCTATTTAGATCATTTGTGCAAGCTCCGGAAAGCGGCATCTCTCAAGGCAGTCCAGGATGCCCACACCAATGAGTCTGATGATGAGGTGCCGGGGCCATCTTCCAAAAGGGCCAGGCGTACTGCTGTACGTGTCACCGCAGACATGGCTCACTTCTCACCTATGGTGACGATTGAATTGCCAGCTGCTGGGGGCGTCGAAGCAAAGCCGGTGAAAGTGGCTTGTGGCACGTCAAGCCGAGATTTGTGGATGGAGGTTGACCAGTCCAACCTCCTCCATGTTGTTCTCGGCATGAAAGAGTGGGAGGCTGAGAAAGGACGTGGCAGGAAGGTCAAGAATTCTGACCTTCCTGAAGGTCCTTCGCCCTCAAAGCCACAGAGCTCTGTTTGATGATATTTTGTTTTTGCGGGGTGCGCTGGAGAAAGCTTATGGGGAAGCTTTCAACCAGCTATGGCTGGGATGGGAAAAGAGTTGGACGAACGCATGTGTTTGCTGTGGTTTGCAACCAGTTTGCTGCTGCCCTTATATTCATGTGATGGATGTGTCGGGAGCAGGACCTTTGTGAGAAGTTTGGAAACATGATTCTATTGTTGGGATTTAAAAAATCGTTTGCAGAAAACAGTGTGCATGCGCAGCTATGCATGAAGCCGCTGCTGGCGTGACAGAGACTCAAGCACTAAAGACACATTGTAACATGACTGGACACAGCAAGTATAGTGTGCATGGGTCATATCACAAAACACAGCAAGTATAGTGCGCATAGTACCTTTGCGAAAGCCACTACATACACACTTATAGACATATCTATGGCGAACTTAAACTACACCTGTCTTCAGCTACTGTGACAGTGAGAGAGAGAGAGAGCATGATGAGATATGATGAGAGACGGCGTGATGAGAGGCTTGCAACCCATTAACTCACTTACTGCATATTACGCGTTGGTAGGTACATCGTATATTGATTTACGCATTGTTCTTTGCTTGCTCACTTCTCCGTGCGTTGTGGACGCAATGGAGGGCCCAAGTGAGAGCGAAGGTGCAATCCTGAAGCCTGGAGCCCTCATCAACAAGGTGCTGAAGAAGGAGCCAACGAAGGTGGGGTGGGGGTGCATGGGTTTAGGATGAGGTTTATGAGTCTAAGAGCTGAGGTTCGATTGAGTCTAAAGACGGTGTAGCAGTCACACTTGCCAGTGGCCTGCGTGGTCCTTTCCTCGAACGTAAGCGCACAGTAAACACATCCCTTGTCCATTCAACCCAGTGCCAACAGGCAGCACTTACAGCATCCGACGCAGATGATGATTCTTGGCTTGTTCAGTGTTTGTGACGTATGCATTCAACAAGGTAGAATGATATGCTTGGAGAAACACACTATTGTTAAACACCCCAGCGTTCAAGGTATATCATTGCAAAACATATCTCCATAGGCAGTGATTAGTCACGCCGGCAGAGACTATAGCTACTCGCCTGCGCAAAACACAACGATTGACAGCCTGGTTATAAGGAGACATGGGGCAAGTGGACCGCAGCGGAGAGGGCGCAAGCCGTGGAGAAGTCCTTCGAAGAGTTCATCAGCGGTCCAGATGAACATGTGAAGCCGGTGCCTTTGTCTGGACATAGGTGTTTTCATATGTTGTGGTTCCTGTTATATCGGTATGTTCAACATCTAATTCTGATAGCGAGTCGATCACCCTGCTAGCGAGCCTGTGCCCTGCTCTTCTTTAACCTTGTGGTTTTGATAGCGAGTCAATGACCCTGCTCTTCTAGGTTGTGGGTCTGGATATGGTCTGGTTGAAAGATATTGAAGCACCCACCAGTCTCCGGCATGTATACAAGGTACCTGACTTCCCCGACGACAAGGAGCAGGAGGTGCCTGCCAAGGTGCTGAAGATGATGCCAAAGGCCCGACCCTGGCAGCAGGGGCCAGAGGTGGAGGCATCGCTCATCCCTGGAAGGCCCAAGCCTTTGTACAAAGGCTCAGCAGCTGGCGGCTTTGGAGCAGCTGCGTCGAGTTCAGGTTCAGCGGAAGCGTGGTTGAGCAGCTGTGGAGACGGTGGAGATGGAGATGGAGATGGCTGGATGACGACAGAGTGGACGTCATGGAGGAGCGATGAGTGGAAGAGCTCTGATGACTGGAAGAGCTCTGATGGCTGGAAGAGCTCTGAGTGGAAGAGCTCTGATGACTGGAAGAGCTCTGAATGGAAGAGCCATCAGGAGATCGACACCTCGACTACCTGCCCCAACGAGTCAGAAGCACATCCCAACGATGAAGTGTATGTGCCACCTCCGCATGGAAAACGAGGACAAGAAGGGTGGTACGTCCATGGTGGATTTGTGACAGCCGACGGCATCTTCCATGGGTATCTTTGTCTGTGTGTTCAATCAGGTTTTTGGTATAGGAAAGTGTGAAATATGTTTCATTGACATGCACACCTTATGAGTTCAAGTCCTCTCAACATTCACCCGTGCTCAGGTACAACGAGGGACGGACACGTCCACGCCAGCGCGCCGGCCGCTGGATTCAGAACGAACGAGCTATGCGAGATGCGATCCGCGGCTTCACGAACATGAGTGAAGCCCAGCTGTACTTCATGGGAAAGGGAAAGCGCTGGTGAATTTATAGATTTTCTCGGTGGTAGTGATGCGCAAAAATATATTGATCGATATAGTCTAGATGATAGTACTGCACAAAAATATCTCGATCGAGATATTTTTGGTGATAGTAATGCACAAAAATATCTCGATCGAGATATTTTTGGTGACATTGATGCACATAATATCTCGATCGAGATATTTTTGGTGAAAATGATGCACATAATATCTCGATCGAGATATTTTTGGTGACATTGACGCACAGAATATCTCGATCGAGATATTAGAGTGTTCATGTCAGACCAACTCAACTTGCATCAACTCAGACGATATTTGTGATAGAGGTCAGCCGGACATCAATCCTCACTGTAGAGTTTCATTTCCTCAGGGGACCAAAGCAGGCTTCAGCCTGGCCCTTTCCTGCTTTGTACGGCCTCGAGCGTGGTATGTGGAAGTGGCTGGAGGTGATGTGAACACTATACAATGAAACAATTGAACTTTATACAATGGTCCGCTCTGGACATAGCTGCTTCCACAATTGCGGTAGCCTTGGCAGTTGGGCTGTGCGACTGATCACCAGGATGACTTAACTTACTGTAATAGACTTTTGTATTTCTAGTGTAACATGAGTCTACATACTCAATCTCCTGGGATCACACAATTGGCATTGCGCCCTGAAATCGGCAGCGCTGGCCCCCCTTTAGCCTGTGCATTCCACACAGGCTGCGCGGCATAAGAGTTTGAGGGCTGCTCCAATGTACATCTCTTTGTGTAGACATACAACACCTTATGATAGGTCACATCATACACCATATTGATAAATATGGATATAGTGCTGGAGCGGCCTGCACAGAGACCTTTCAGCGAACCGATCATGCGATCGCACGCCGGCAAAAAAAGACATTGAAGTGTTGATGCGGCAACTGGTGTTCAGTGTGATTAAATACTTTTTGCAAATGTTGACATATGTTGACTACATATTTCTCAATCGTTGAACCATTGAAACTCATGAAACAAGAGGGCTTGGGTCTTCCTGATAACTCAGACTTTGATGTCAAGTGTTCTGTTGCATGTACACCATTTCCTGTATTCATAACGTTGATTGAAAATGCTTGTAGGGATTGAAACACTGTCGAGTGTTGTCTTGCGTATGTGCTTGCATACGGAGTTGAGTCTTATGGCATAACACACTGTAGTTTTGTTTGTAGAGCGTCACTGTGTGTGTGAGGTGTGGTGTTTCACGGTGGAGGTGAAACGATGTTGCGTAGCTTGCTCGGAGTTGAGTCTTATGATTGCAACACTGTATCACTGTTTTTGTTTGTAGATCAACTGTGTGTGTGAACCTGTGCCCGAACTAGAGTTGTGCCCGACCTAGAGTTGCTTAGTCCCCTCGTTTGACCATCATGGCTGATGTAAAGTCGATGAACAGCTATGCCGTTGTTTGCGGCCGTTGGAAAAAGGGTACTAAAAGCACAGAGATTGTGGTGGACAAACCGGAGTCACTTAACTGGCAAGACCGTGAGGAAGCACAGGAACCAATGAGAAATTTGTACTCTTGGGCTCTTGAGACCAGTCGCAGCTTCTTCCTGGACGACTATGTGTATGCGTATGAAGGATTGCGCTTTATCGTGCAGGACCATGCCTTTCTTGAAGGGGAGACCAGAGTGCTAGTGGAAGACATCGACTTTTATGAGCAGAAACTTGTGTTGTTTCGTCGGCGGGCTTAGACTGGCTGAGTGGTGGTGGGCCATTAGCTGACCATTGAAAAGAATCAGCTGACCATTGAAAAGAGCACTATTAGGTCATTAGCTATAGATGTGGATGGGCCAAAATCCTCTGTAGTTTGACTTTCCCCAAATACATCAACCACGTGTCAATGGTATGCCAGTGTGGCCCACGACCAGCCCATGGCAAGATTATGTTTTGGTATGGCAGTGTATATATCACGCCAGGCAGTGCGTCGCACGCCAAACTGTACCACGCAGCAGGGCAACAAAGGGTTAGAGTTTGAGCTGAGTGGAGCTGTGTTGAACACTTGTTTCTTCAAATGGACACAGTCATTATCACAAACACGCGTTACAACTTGTTTCATTGGACGTGACATGTGTTGCACAGCTGTTTCTTCACATGTCCACATGTAGAAGAATGTGTGTCGCATCATGTTCTTGGTCATGCGCGAGATTTGGGTGCAAGTGACAAGTGTTCAGAACCACCGTGCGAAACTTGTGTCAAGCATGGAGACCATCACTACCTCCTTGAAAGCGACCCTCAGCTTTCTGGAGAAAAACAAAAAACTTGATGCGACAGTGTATGAATCCATCGAAAGCACACAGGTGCAACAGCTTCTCTTGCAGGTGAAAGGAATTGCCCTGTCACTAGAGGAAGCTGAGAAGGTCACAGAGACGCTTCATCTCTCTAACCTGAGCGAGTATCACAAGAATGCCTTGTGCCAGGCCATTTCGTGCAGCGCTTCGTCTACCCCTGCAGGGAAAGGCCCCCGAGCCAGCCAAAAGCTACTGTCTGGCTTCAAGAACTATTTGACGAAGCAGGACAGGGCATTGCTGTCCAATGAGGGGCAGCATCCTTTTGCCCGAATGACCATCATTGTGAAGCGCATGATCGCCATTGGCTTGTACATGCCATGTGAGAAGACCATGGGGCACATTACCCAAACTTGTGCCGAGTGTTTCGACATGGCTGGGACACCTCAGGAAAAGCATGCCCTTCTAGAAGAATTGAAAAGGCAGCTGAAGACCCAAAGGGAGGGCCTGCAACCCAAGATCATTGAGTTTCCAGGTGATCCTCGCTCATGCTCTGGGCTGAGCAAAGCTTTTGAGGGTCAGGAGCTGATGCCTGTGGAGCTAGCAGCTCACAAACCAGGCAAGTGGCTGAGAGCAAGCGCCAAGGATTTGCATCCATTGAGGGGACAAAAGCACTCCCCATCTGGAGGGTCCCATGATATGGCAGCAATGGCATCAAATCCGCTCCTCGGCATGCTCTACAACATGCTCATGCAGGGCCAGCAGCAGCCTTCAGAGAAGACCAGATTGAATCTCCAGGTCTATCCCAAAAAGGTCAAGGCTCTTCAGGATGGTGCAGCCAATGTAGAGGACCCTCCCAAACCGGAAGAGCCCGTCAAACCTGAAGAGCCAGTCAAACAGCCTTTTCAGGTTGGAGGCGCAGCCTTGCCCTGTGAGGAATCTGGTGACAGCCAGGTGGATGAGCACCTGGAACGCATGAACAAGGCCTTTTCTGAGAGGCCAAAGGGTGAGGCAAAGGCAAAAGCCAAGGCTGGTGCCAAGGGCGCTGCCAAGTCAAAGGCCAAAGCAAAGGCTAAGGCCAAATCAAAGGCTAAGGCAAAAGCTTCAGCCAAGGCAGCATCCAAGAAAAGGCCATGTATGATTCCTCAGGGTGGCCCTACTTGCTACTACAGACAGGGCAAGATTCATCGTTCTGATGCAGGCGAATGCTGGAGGGTCTTTCGTAAGAGTTCAGACCGTTGCGATCTCAAGGTCAACTGGAAAGGCAACCCTTCAGTGGCTTGGCAGAGGGCGCTGGCTGTGATAGAGGAAGCCGAAAACATGTGAGCTTCCAAGCAAGTTGTTCAACATCATGTCTTGCATCATATTGCTTTACAAAACATACCATTGTCTCAATGTGTCCTTTATATCTCTCTTGGTGAAGCCAGCCGGATGCTGCTATATATATATGCGCATATGCACCTTTTCTTCTCGGCAGGGGTTTTGCCCGCCGCGCAGGGCATGCTCGCGCATGTGTCCCATGCGTCTCTGGGAACACGTTCTGCATGGCTGTTTTGCTTGCAGGGGTTGCATTGGCATATAGTTCAATCTGTTTGCGCACAAGTTTGCATAAACCTCCTGTTTCCTTTTGATGCCAATGCATGATGGGGTTGGCGAGCAGTGCTGTCATACGTGATCAGAGACCAACGCAAGCAGCAGTGTGAAAAAGGAAGCTCTGTTCGTACATAGTGATACGCGATGAACACTAAACATGTTGTCGAGCTGGGGCTTGCTCCAAACAATGTATACTTGATCAAACTTGCTTGTATATACCAAGCTGTGGCTTTTGCAAAGAGACTGCACCTTTGCACATTGATATCAGGAGATTATTTTGGATCTTTCCATCTTGTTTTGTTAAATCCTTCGATGGCATGTCCATCTTGTGTTTCATACAGCGCCCACGTGCTGCAAGTCACATGCGTGTGAACTGAGCCATGTCCCATCTGGCTGCTTTTGGGCGCAAACGATATGTTAGCCAATCTGCTTTGAGTGAAGTCTTGAAAGAAATCAAAAATGCTGGACTACCAGAAGGGGTTAGCAGAAGCTCTGTGAAAAGAGCCAGGGAGCGTGAACTGGCGAGCTGGAGCAATTCAATTGGGGATGCCATCACGTACATGGAGTTTGAATGTTTGGACACAAAGGGGAAGCACACTGGTACTGTAAAGTTTCCGTTTGTTCATCCATGGTGGTTCCTACAGGTTTGCTGCAAGAAATGTCCATCTTTCATCAGATACTTTCAGCAGTACCTTGTAGACCTGGGCACCTCACCAAATGATGCATTCGAGCAACTCTGACTGTGCATTACATTTTTTGTTATCAAAAATACTAGATTCCATTTGAATCATGTGCGGTGCCATTGTGAAGCCAAGGATTGTTTTGTATTGCGACGAAGTGAGTCCTGGAAACCAATTGAGACATGAAGCAACTCGAAAAGTCCAGATTCTTTACTGGGGAATCAAATGTGCTCCTGGAATGTCTGTGGACCAGCTTTGGTTCACTCTTGGTCTGGCCAGATCATCCATCGTGAACAAGTTGGTTGGGGGAATGAGCGGTTATGTCAAGAAGGCGTTACAACTGTTCTTCTCTCCCATCAATATGCATATGGGTGTTCAGTTGCGGGTGGGCGATGAAGTCCACATCAAGTTTGCAAAACTTGCTATGTTCCTCGCTGACGAAGTTGCTTTGAAGGAAGTGTTTAACTTCCGAGGAGCCAGCGGCATCCT